TTTCAGACTATATTACCGGTTTTTATGTGACGTCATTACTTGTTTTTGGTCTGAGGGGGGCCAAAATTTCAGCATTTTTCTTCATACATTTTTGTAAGATAAATCTGGACGTCGACGTCAAAATAAGGATTAGAGTGCACATCACATAAGCATGAAACAATTCTTAATAAACACAATGCCAATTATTAAATTCCTTTGTAGCATTGTTCTCAATTCTTAGTTAGTTGATAACTAAATCTTAGGATTAACATCCGAAACGTCAGTAAGTTATTTCCCATACTTTTTTACGGTGTTAAACTTATCTTTTTTACACAACTGTTTCTTTAGAAACACCGACGCAGCTCACACTAGTTTACCGCTAGTTCCCACCATAGTTAAGAATTGTTTCATGCTTATGACTAACTTGCACTGTATTACCACAGTTTCAGGTCTCATAGGAGTCGAAAGGGGCGATTTTACAACCACTGTTCCCTCCCAGAGGATTATTTTTATTTCGAACTTCTTATTGGTTGGATTAAAGCCGCACCTAAATTCCTTGTCGCTGCGTGACAACAGAGTTTGTATTTCCACCATTTTGTCCACGTTTACGACATAAACCGGAAGTAACTTAGGAATTGAAAAATATTCTTTTTGAGTTTTACAAGAAGCAAGAAAATGTACTTTTCGTACAGACAAGGAATTTTTCTTGAATCTAGGTGAATGGAATCTCTAGATATTTGCCATCTAAACTCCTTCAGGGCCCTTAGGCCTCGTTTCCATTCTTTTGTTTTGTATTGTTTTCAATTCACTTCCGGCTTACGTCGTAAGCATCTAGAGCGAATTTCGTTTGACTGTGCAAAAGCATGGATCACAACACGGACTCACGGAACCTCGCCTTCTAGGATTTCAAATGAAAGTAAAGATTTTTCAATGCATCACGGCTACGGCACGGTACGGACACAGCACGAACGTACCGTGTTTTTTTGCACAGTCATACGCTCTATTGTGACGCACCAGAAATCGACCAATCACATTTCAGAAAAATTCGGGATATATTGTCAGGTCACATGTTATAAGCCATCATTCCTTCGAAATCTAAAGTGCCGTTACGTACACTTTTAGAGGAAGCAAATTGACTTGGAAAAAACCCTTACTTCTTGATAAAAATTATTTGAAAAGTTAAGAAGTCATCATGGTGAGTTTTATATGTTGAATTGATGTGTTTTTCTAGAACAGTTTTGATAGGATGGGCAACGCTTCATACCAACTGCTGAGCTGTTCGAATGGCGCCATTTTGCCCGGAGTAGTCAATCGATAAAAATCGATATCGATAAAAATCGATAAAAAATCAGCTGATTTTTATCGATTTCTATCTTCAATCGTTAAAAATCGATTTTCTTTTTTAGTGTGAGTTCGATTTTTATCGATTTTTGTTTAGATTTTATCGATTTTTATCTATAGTGCGTTTGTTATTGAGAGTGAAGGAAATCAATTTTAATTTTGATCAAGTAATAAGTACAATTATCGAATCTTTATTTCAAACAATGAATGATAATTATTTCGACATTTTCTATGGTAGTACAGCATAGCTCTAAAATCAGAAAGAGAGTTTTAGCACAGGCTTACCAAACTATCGAGAAGAGTCGGCTCCAGGCCTCCTGTGGCGATTATCGGCCGAAAGCTGTTGAAAGCCGTTGAAATCATTTATCATTCATCATTTACTTCACCGGGGCTCGCGATCATTTACCCATGAAAATCGCATCGCACGGCAAAAAGAACCACAAATCCACATTCACAAAGCATTAAAGTTTATTTCTGAACTAAAAACCAGAATATAACCCCCCAAAATAACCAAAATAACGATGTTGAAAATGGCCTAAATTTGAAGAGATTTCAACGGCTTTCGGCCGATAATCGCCATAGAAGGCCTGGAGCCGACTCTTCTCGATAGTTTGGTAAGCCTGTGGTTTTAGATTCGCGTTTACTGCAACCTCCACAGCTACGTCAAATTTATATCTTTTATGATTTGACTAAAATTGAAAACTTACGTAAAAAGTGATCTATTTTATACACAATCGCGAAAGAACGGAGCGTTAATACAGAAAAACAGTGATTACGTGATCAGTTTTGACGTTTGGCGTTTTGCTGCAAACGCGTATCTATAACTCTCTAATATGTAAGTCAGCGGTGTTTCAATTTATTACTTTCAAATTCTATCAAATGAAATGAGGTTGGACAGTCCTCAATATATTCTTATTTATAGTGTGTATAAAAAAACTGTTGAATGACCGTTTTATATAATTTCGGCTACCAAAACCTTTTTTAACTTGAGCACTGTCAATCAATAAAAATCGATATTATTTTTTTGTGTGAGT